ATAACTTTCAGTAAAAGCATTAGACAGGAGCTGTGCTCAATTGATGAGGTATAGTCTGTTGCACAAAACTAAAAACCTTGTATTTCTATAAGACAGATATATATACACATATATGTAGTTTTCTTTATATAAAACTTACACACATACTCCCACCATTTACAGTATACATGCAAATATACCTCCTGGCACTGTGGATCTAAATAGAAGAAAATTATTGTGGGGGGTTGATTGAAATAGAGTCTGTTCCCAGACATTTCTTGTTTGTTAATAGTGAACTATCAGTAGATCTGATGAAGTAGAGGGAGAAAATCATAGTGGCTGGGTTATATAATGAGTTGTTCCCCCTGCCTTGCTTGCATGGGAGAGTTTTTTGTGCCTTTTGAGTGTTGATGCACAGAGTGGCTGTGGTTAGAGGAGATGTATGTAAGCATGTACAGAACAAGTTATGAGAGCAGTGTAAAAGTCATGGATAGAAACTGTTCACGACATCCTTTCATGAATGTAGAGGCTGGTTGTTGCATGGAAAGGAGGAAGACTTAACAGTTTGGCAGGATGTCTTTTCAAAGTCTATTCTTGACATGCTGAAACATTAGAAATCTTTGTTTTCTTATGTCTTAAAGTGAAAGTCAACCTATTTAAAGGTTAATAATTAGGACAAATCAGCAGATTGGACGGTTTACAACAGACTGCTGTATCCTCTCCAAATAGAAATGTAATTACTGAAAGCTGGGAAGTGTGCATACATCCATCTAGGATTCCACTTTAATGTGTTTTTTCAAGGATGGTGTGAGATGAAGCGTAAGATTTCTTTTTAATGGCTTCAGTGACTGCTTTTTGAAGTCTTGGAGCCTCTGAATTTGCAAGAAGAATAATGACCTGGTTTATCTCCCTTTGGAAAGGCTCAAATCATAAAAATTGTGGGATTTATGTTTTTTTGTGCTACCATAGTGATTAAATTTTAGCTTTTACTTTGCACCTGTTGCCAGTGTGCACATGTGGCTCTACAAAAATGTTAAGCAGTGTTTGTAGTCACTACCTGACATAAATAAATGACGGAATCCACTCCTCCAGAAGCCTCAGCACC